ATTTCATATGTATATATATATTTACTGGAAACTTTTATTTATCCCCCCCCCCTCCGCAAAACTCCTAAAAATTTCATTTTTAAACAATTCATTGTAGCGAAACTAAGCATTTTTCAAATTTTGCAAACGCAGAAAAATAGTGGCTGGCTTCTTCTACCGCGTCATATCATATTATTGAACTTTGAAAAAAAAAGGTCGTTCAAAATTACCTTTATCTAAAATCCGTTTTTTCAAAATTTTTAATATCGTTATAATAATAAATAAATAGACTTAGATTTTAGGAGTCTGAAGCTGTGGCTTTATGTTAATGCCTCTTTGAATTTTTTTTCAGCTCATCCTAAATGTAGTACACTCTAAGCTCATCCTAAATTAATAATGTAGTACACAGCTAGATTGTTTGTAAAAGCAGTATTTTTACTTGTCGAAGATAAAAATGCTACATTACAAACAATTAGTTTGGCTCATCTTTATTTATCTTTACAGTCAATTGAAATTTTGTATCGCATGTGCTATATGTAATGCATTTAACTCTATACGTAGGAATTAAAAATAAGAAAAAGTTGAAAACAATTAAGAAAAATTGATTTTCTGCTACAACTTCAACTTTCTTGGAAAGATTAATAAGTGCATTACAATAAAGAATAATGTCAGTTATGCAATGGGGGAATGTAAAAATTCGAATTTTGGGTGACTTAATAATTTTTTAATAAATTTTGTTATTAAAAATATTTAATTCGTAAAATACTTAATTAAATTCAATTAAAAATTGCAAAATGTTCATTTCTCAGTATTATACAAAAACTTTTTCTTCGTCACTCTGTCTTCGCATTGTATAAAATTTAACAAAAAAAAAATATAAATGAATATTAAAGAAATGTTAATAGAGAAAGCAATTCTATTTAAATATAACTTGTTTTTCTAACATAATTGAGAAATTAAATTAGCTTATTCTTTGTTTTACCCTCCTTGTTCCCTCCCTAGTAATTTTGTTTTTATAGTGTATCTCTATACACTTTAAACCCATATATCCTTTTATTGTTATCCTTTCATATTTTACTCTACAATTTTTTTTCTGTGTTGTGTTCATATCTAAAGTGATGCTCAATATATGATATTTACACTACTAGACAAACACAATAATATTATTATTATCCTCTTTTGTTACATAAAATGAAAAGAATATTAGTGGAGAATGATTTTTAGTATTTCATTTTTTTTGATTTTTATTCTTTTTTGACCTAATAATGAACATAATGTTTTTTTTTGATACTCTTTAAATACCGAGCTCAAGCAATATACCCAGTACAAAATTGAAGATATTATAAGCGATGGCAAACAATAATATAACAAGACCTAAGAAAATGAACATTTTTATGAAACAAAACAAAAGAAAAAGGATAAAACCTAACCAAATATTTAGTTAGGCAAAAAGTTTTTTTTTTCCATTTTTTATTATATTGCTATTATAATCATAATGCTTTCTGTTCCTTCTATATTCTACTTTTAGAAATCATCGTCACTATTATTTTAAATAGATAGGTAGATAGTTAAGATGCATATACTTAGGGATAGATGAGAAGTGAAAAATGAAAGAGTATAGAGATTAAAAGGGCAACAAAGCAATAATTTTAAATATAAAAACATTTTATACATAAAAATTAACAAAGTGTTGTATAGGAAAACAATTCCTGAGCAATAGAAAAGTTTTTCGTTGCATATGGGGTAATTTTAAATATACAGAATAACAGGCTTTTGGGCTTTGAGAAAGAATATTTGATATCAATAAATCTTTAATTTCTAAAACTAAAATGAATCAACAAAAATGATCTGAATAAAGAGTCGAATTTTCTTCAAATAGAGCATTGGTGGCTCTTTCTTAAATTCATACCCGCAAATTAAATCTTCAGTCTAAAATACTTAAGGAACTTTTGATAAAATAAGTTTTATTGAAGCGTTTTAAGCAGTACTCAGAGTCTTATAAATTAAATTTTTACAGATCTAGTTTTTTTTTTGAAGAAGAATTTCCTGTATAATCGAAAAAAAATGCGTTTGAATATTTGAATTTATCTCAAAAACCCTATATTTCATAATATGTGAAATGCACTACTGATTTAAATGACGAAGAATCGACATAAGTGTGTGAAGGCTATGGGTACTTTAAGTTATCAATATTTAAATTTGTTTTTCGTAAATTTGATAACTTCGGGGATAACTTTTCTTAGTATCAAATGTTTTAACATAATTCTATTGCCATAGACCTGAAGCCATTTTCTAAAAAAACTGGAAAAGTGCTTAAAACTTACACGTCTCTCCCTTCTCCCAACCTCCCTAAAAGCAATAGCTTCGCAAAATTATAAAAATTACAATTTTTTAACTCTACCGCGGTATAGTGTTAAACTTTACGATTCCTTAAGCGTTAAATTAGCCGTTATTCGATTTCTGACTTTTAAAACTTTTGGTATCTTAAGAAAAAAATTTTTTTCACCTCCACTCCCTTTGAAGTTACCGTCACACAAAATTTATAGTTTAAATTTTCAGGCCCTTTCACATTTCCAAAGGTGTAAGCTTTTTCTCATTTTCCTTGAAGCAAAAATCTAACGAAAATGCCATACTATTAAAAAATACAATATCTTATTTTCTTATATAATTCAAATTGGAGCATTATATTGACGCTTCTTTAAATTTTGTTTTTTTCCCTCATCCTAAATGTATGCAACAAATTTTATATATTTTGCATATGAGTGCAGGTATATAATTTAAAAATAATGTAGTAAATTTTTTTTAAAAACAGTTCAAGGGGCAGATACCAATAAATCATTGGTTTGATTCAACTGAACGTATGTTTGAGCTAAGTTCACCAAATTTCCACAAATGATTTATTGTAGTAAGTGCCAGAAACCTATTTAAATTGGACATGATGGGGGTACTGGTTCGGATAACTGTCATACAACTTCAAAAGTTATTTGGCTATATCTTAGAAAGTATAAAAGCTGTGGTATTTAAACTTCACACAAGCAAATATATTTTTAGGGTCGATGTGTTTGATAAAATTCGTTAAAACTGCTTGGGTCTTTTTAGTGGCTGCCATACAGCTTCAACAGTAGATTTTACTGAAATTATTGCATGAATTAATATAGTTATACGGGAACTTAAAGCCAAAGTCTGCGCCATAGTCAGTTATGACACATATATTCGCACATAGGACAACAAATTCGTACGGGTATCACAGAGTTGACCCAGTCAATTCTATTTTTTCTCGTTAAATTTGATTTATATAAATTTAAGAATATAATCAAGCAAATAAACAGATTATTTATTAAATAAACAGATTATTTCATTTTTGATTTTTAGTCGGTAAATATGATTTTACTAAAAAGATATTCAAGTAAAATTTCGTCAAGGCGAGGCCTGACCTTTGGTACAGTGGTTATTGCACTGGTCCTTTAAAAGATGGGTTCGACCGAGTTCTATCCTAGGATTGAACAGAGGAAAAAATATATATAGAGCTAAAATCTACATGTCAACCCTATACAACAGATTTAATTCCTTGTGTGCTTAAGTTACCTTCAAAAAGTGAGGAAACCAGGTTTTTGTTTTGTGAATATCAATATCCACAAATAAAACATGAAACTAAACAGCTATACAATTGAAACTTTATACGTTTATTAAATTTATTATTGGCATCTTGGAACAAGAATGTGTTTTGCGTAGTATTATTAATTTATTTTACAATTAACTAATTTCTTACATTTTTAATAGATTTTACAATACAGAGTGAAGAGAGCTGATTTTATTTAAAATATTAGAGAATGCTAAATTGGTACCGAACATTTTTAACAAATATAAATTATACATCTTTCATTTAATATATGACTTTTTATAAGCAGTAAAAATTCATTTTCCTAGGTCTTCTTTTAAAAATACTTTTCTAAAACTAAGGTTTTTCTCTTCTTTTAATTGTTGTTTAGTCGTCTTTATTTAATGGTTGGGTTGAGTTTTGAAAACCTCAAATAAGTTTTTTTTCCACAATAAGTATAACAAACAGATAAATATTTTTTAATGCAATTGGGATGCAATATTAAATTTGTAAATATTTACAGTACAACGAATCACATTTTAAGAAATTTAAACTGTCATATACAAATTGTGTCACTTATTTCTATCTTGATTCAGCACAGGACACCACAGTTGATATTAAGTTCAATACACCATTGTATAACAGAAGGTCTTGTGAGTGACATGTAAAGATTTTAAAATTAAATTGTTAAAAAATTATGTTGGGAGAAGCATAAATATTGTGACAACATAGTTTATTTGTGATAGCACATTTTGTAGTACACTTTCAGTAATTAATTCAGAGAATCAATTCTTCATACTGAATTTTTTTATTTTTCGTTACGAATACGTCTCGTAGAAATAGCGTCTAGTTTTTGGAAGACAAGTATTTCTACTTGTAGTATTTGAGAATACTATACATTTCGAGACTGAAGATTTAACCTGTTTTTTTTTCTCACTTCAGACTAGCGCGGATTGAGGCAGCGAAAGATCACTTTGTTTTTGAACTTGATTAGTTCAGACGTTATTCTAAATTATTTAATGATATTTAGAAAAAATCCAATAAAAAAAGAAGTTATAATATTGGAAAAATGACAAATTCCATTAAAAATATTAGAACTCGAATTTGAAAGTTACTAAAAGTGGTGACTGAAAAAGAAAGGTACACAATCATGCTATAAAATTTAAGTTGGGATAAATAATAATTATTTGTGTATTTCAACTTCACATTCAATGTTACACGGGGTGATTTTCGGATTTTTTTATACAGTAGTGCGTATTTTAAAATTTTCATTTTTACATGAAACACAATATGTACGATTTCATTTAAGTTTAAAAATTTTTAAATCTTTCAAGTCTATAATTTACCAAAATGATAGCTTTATAACAAAAAAGAAAAAAATATTTCTGTTTAATCTCTATAAATAAAAGTGAAACCTACTGACCTTATTCGAGTATCCATTAAATTTGAGTAATTTCTTACAGGATTTTCCACGGCTTTCAAAATAAATTTCTTGTGGAGTTTTATTAATTTTATTGCGATTACTTAGTGCAATACAACATCCTTTTGAAATTGGTGTTGATGGTGTTTGTTGTATTGCACCTAAAATCGATGGTGATGCTTTTGTTGTAGTTGCTGCTGCCGTTGTTGCTGCAGTTGTTGATTTTATTTTATTTTGCTTTTGATTCTTTGACTTTTTATTTTTTGCTTTACTATTTTGATTATATGAATGATATTGATAATATTGATAATCAATACGATTATCATATATAATATTATTAGAACTATTCAATTCATCATTATTATCAACATCATCATCATTGTCGTCATTACCATTATCAATATTATTATTATTACTGCTACTATCATTACTTGAATGAACATTATTATTAGCCATTTCATTATTTCTAACTAACATTCCAGATATTGTAGCGGGAGGTTTTCGATTTAATATTGGTGATGGTGATGGAGATGATGATGTTGATGTTGACGTTGAAGTAGATGATAATGATGATGATGACAAGGATGATGTTGATGATTGCATTGATGAAATATATTGTTGTGATGACATATTTTTATATGATTTATAATTAAATTGATTATCATTATTATTTAAATGATTCATTTTGATTTCAATTTCTGATGATTTTGATGATGATGACGATGCAAATGTTGATGATATATTTTTAATTGGCTTGTTTATTAATACTGTTGTTGCAGTTCCTTTTCTTATCGAAGATGATGTTGGTATTGTTATTCCTCCAGAACTTGTTGTTGTTAGATGTTGATTATGATGTATTACAGGTGACGATTGATTTATACCGTTTAATATAAATTCATTATAACATCTATCAATGTCGGACATACCAACAGTTGAGCGTAAACATTTTACTAAATTTACATCCATTTCCATTGCTTTTCTCTTACAATTTCAATTTTTTATTTTTATTAAAGAATTCCTTTTATTTCGGATGCTGTTTCCTATTTTTAATTTTTTTTGTTTTCGTCCTTTTTATCTATCTTCATAATATATGGTATTCTTTGGATCTTTCAATAAATTCATGATTTTTATTGTGAATTTTATTACATTTTTTTATGATTGTTTATTGTTTTGATTATTTTTCTTGTTGTTGTTTTTGCTTTTTTTATTATAGGTCACTGATTTTTTTCATTGTATGGGTATGTACAAGGATATGTTATGTATGTTGCACACTATTCTTGTATACTCACATGCACATATGTATGTAAGTCACCTAGATACCACCTGATGCTCAAAGTCTGAAGAAGATTACAAATTTGATAGGTTTTTTTTTTTTTCTTACTGATTTTTTTTTATGATTTATGACCCTGTGCTTTATATTCGTACTGTTCTTTGTATTTTTTTTCACTCACATTCACTTATTTTTTTTCCTAGAAATGAGTTTTCTATAGATTTTGAAATTCAAATAATATCGAAAATTATAATTTTGTGTTTTAAAAATTTACAAATTTCACATTTGTTCCTTAGGTTGAAAAATAATGAGTTTTTTTTGATAAATATTTACAATAATAAAAATACCTTAAAAAAAATTAAAATTTTGCGAAAAGAGAAAATTTATTAAATTTTTTCATGAAATGAATTTCGTATCCTGGCGGCGGTAACTTTTGGTAACATTCATATATCAAGGTAAAATGTTTAAAAGAGATCAAAAATAAAAGGAAAAACTTTTTTATATTATTTTTTATGAGCGTAAAATTTACACCTTCACGATTTTTATAAGAATCGATTTTATATTATCTTTTATATACATAATATATTTACGAGTATGTATGTTTATGTAAATTTATAAAAAATCCCGTTATCCACAAAAATTATCTATATGTATGCATAAATTTGGCATTATATTTGTCTATTATTAACTGCTGGTTGCATTTAAAACAGTGGCAACAGCAGGAACCAAATCGTTTTTTAAGTTTCTATCGTCATATACACACAAATTTTTATATATACACATATTGTAACTGTTATATTTATATATAAAATAATTTTTGTTATTTATTTTCCATTCCGAGAATGTGAAGTGATTTGTGATGCTTTTTTTCACTTTTTCTTGTCCTGAACGCTTGTTTGTGTTCCTCTCGACTTCAATGAGCAACTAAAAATTACTAGGCAGGAAAAATATTAAAAAGGACTTTTAAAATGAAAAAAAAAGAAACAAAAGCAAAAGCAAAATAATTGTGTATAAAAAAAGGATTTTTTTTATTCTTCTTTGTTTTTATTTCATACTGTTTTTTCTTTTCTTCTTCTTCTTCTTTTTCTGTTACTTGTATACGCTGAACGTATACGTACGTTCGTTTGTTCGTTCATTCGTTTGTTCTTATCATTGTCCTTTCGATAAAAAAATGTTAGAAAATGTTTAGTAGAGAAATTACAAAAACGTGGATATGGTAATAAACAAGTACCAAAAAACAAAAGTAAGAAAAAACAAAAAAAAAAACGAAATAAAAATATATTGTGAATGGATACAAGGAGAACATAGCATGCATTTGGAAAAAGTAGAAGTACGGTGGAAGAGAGTGAGACGTGGGCATAAAGTTGGAATAAAGGGAAAGAAGAGAAAATGTATAGAAATATAAAAATAATAATAATAACAATAAAACAGACCAAAAATCAAAGAAAATTTGAAAAAAAAAACAGAAAATGAAAAGAACTGAAAGGAATTCAGGAATTTTTTTAAAATCCTTGACGTAAAAATTGTTTATTTGTAAGAATTTTTTTTTTTTTTTGAAGCATGCGCATTATTTAAAAACAGTAGAATGTTAAAATTTGAAACAGAACGTTTCAAATGTTGTACTTGAGGTGCAGGGACACAATAAACGAAAATTAAAATAAAATATGGTAGTGTTTTTTCAGTTAAGGTTTGTGAAACACGTTTCTTTTCTGCAAGATTCCAAAATCATAGGTTAAGCTATAACAGAGAAGTAGCTGTGAAAATTTTGTGGCCGTATATAATTTTTCGTTGTTTAACTTCTTTTCTTTTCAAAACAAAGGTGAGCAATAATGGCATTTAATTCATTGAATATAATAAATCTTATATTAAGCAGCACAGGGAAGCTTCCTTTAATTATTTAAATAAATAATGAAACATTTGATTGGGAAATCTTTATTACTTTCATCAAAAATAAATGATTAAAAACCAAGAGTTTGAAGGAAAACGAGTGATTTTTTTAAAAATTGTTGCAAAAAGGAAAAGACATTTGTTTTGAAGGAGTAATATTTTGAGTGTAATTTCAAAATCACATTTACATCTTGAACTGAACTGATGAATATGAAGTTGTTTCGTCTTTAATTGAGTGATTGGAAATATTTTCCAAATTTTCTTTTAATTGGCGAGAAAATCAATTTTCCTACGAAACAACATTCAATAGGATTAAAAAAAAGTGATAACATAAGGAGAATTTTTTAAAATTTATTGTTAATATTTAATTGTTAATTTCAATTTTAAATAAAATTCAATTACAAATTAAAATCGCCAACATATATTTTAGCTATTCACCTATGACACAAAAAGGTTTACTATTTTTTTATTACAAATTTTAAAATATTGTTCTTGTTTAATTATTCTATATATATATAATAGGTATTCATCAATTCCGGTTTGTTAATTTTAATAGGGTTAAAAGTATGTTTAGGAACTTTTTCTGTTTTAACTTAATTGTTCCAAATTAAATACATCTAACTTCTAAACATAAAATGACAACGCTTCCATATACAATATACATATACAGAAAGAGAAAGAGATAGAGAGAGAGAGAGAGAGAGAGAGAGACGAGGGAGATATGTGCAAAATTAATTGTTCAAAAGACCTTAAATGAATGATTCAATCCTTTCAATTTAATTAATACTAATAGATCAATGTATACATATGTATGTATGTATGAATTTAAGATATTTTGTGTACACATACATATGTATAGATATATTCTTTATATTATGATAAAAGCAACCTTCATTTATGTAGTCCTTGCATTTATCACAACATATTGAATATATATACATACTTATATATATATATATATATATAGGTGTATATGCACTTATGTTTAGACGTAAATCCTGTATAGTTTTTGGTTTCTTTCTTTTTTCTGTTTTTAAATTTAGGTCATAGATTTTCAAATAAATTTTGTATTTTTAACCCTATTTCCTATTTTAATCTCTTAATTTGTTACCTATATTTCCTAAAATCATTTATTTAGTGTTTAATTCTAAATTTTTCTCTATACGTATATAAATTACATACATATTTGCAAGGACAAAATACGTACCTATTTACAATGAAAAATCTTTAGAATATCTAACAAAATTCTTCTTAGATGGTTTCACATTTATTTCAGTTTCTCTACCTTCTATATATTTACACTGTTATAATTTATTTTTAAAGAAATCTTCAATAATATTCCATCTTCATCCTATATCAACCAAAAGTTAATAGTGTTCAAGTTTTTCAATTTACACTTTAATGAAAAATGGAAGAAAAAAAAAAAGTGAATAAAATTACCTTTTTAGATTGTTATTCTTTCACCTTATATGATGGTGTAATTTTGGTAATAATTTTTTTTTACATCAAATTATATAATATGTTGGCATGTTTGTGTTAAAGGATGTTTCAAAGAAAGCAGCCAAAAATTAAAAACAAAACAAAAAAAGGGTCATTCATAGCTTTGTTTTCTATTTTTTTTTACGTCCTGCTTAATTTCCCCACAGCTCACTTGATTTTGATTTTTTCTTTCTCCATTTTCTCTTTTTTGTTGTTACAGTTACTGTTATCATTTATATTTTATGAAACGGTTATTGTTGCAATGTTGATTGAAGGGTTCATAATAAAAACAATAAGAAAAAAACCTTTAACAAAGTAGAAAATCGTTTAGCTTGAATGGGGTTCTCCATCTAAATCTACTAAACGAAAAAAGCAAAAAAAAAATGTTTCTATCTTAAACTGTTCTATTACTGTTATGTGGCATAATCTACTATAATAACATTATATATATGTATGTGTATAATAATATAATACATACCTGTATAAATTTTATTTATTATAATTGTACATAGCCATTGTACTATATGTACAAGTCTACATACATTTATGTTATGTTATGTAAGAAGATGAATGTATGAATGCTTGTTAATAAGTAAAATAAATATTATATTGTTGTTTTATTGCAGGACTATTAAAAGGGATTCATTTGGAAATAACTTCATTGCTTGATTGCTGCCCTTATAAATACACTACAGTTATCATCATCACCGTCACAGTCATCATCATCATCATATTGTTAACAACACTATAAGAACGGTTGGTGTTTGTAGATAAATGAATTGAATGAAACAAAGCACAAAGAGAGTAACAACATGCAACCCCACTCTTTATATTTTTACTATAAAATTTTTGTTTTCTGTTTATTTTATTATAATGTTGTCTTCATTTTAATATTTTAGTCTTAGCTTAACTTTCAACTCAACTCTAATTCTATTGCCTTTTATTAAAGCTTGTGTAAAATTAGATTGTGCAGGATAAAGAATGGGAGATTGAAATTTAAAAAACGGTCAACAAAAAGTAAAATTTTGTACAAAAAATACAATTTTCTAGTTTCTTTTCTATTAGGGTATTAAAATGTTTTGTAATGGTGATTTATATTGGATTAGGTGTAGTGTTGCCATGTTTTAGAAATGTTATTCTTAACACAGATAGAAAAAATGACAGCTTGTGTGTGCATTATGGAAAAAGTAGATTTTTCGAACTCTTTTAAGCTATTTCATACCAAAATTGAAAGTCGACAAATATATATTGGAATACGGGGCAGTGTTAGAAAGATTTCTGCCAGACCTACAGTTTTTGTTGTGAGAGATTTTTCGTAATCAGCTCCGTCATTCATAGGTTTTGTAAATTTAAAAAGAAATATATCAGAATTTCATTGGTGGTCAGGGGGTTTTTTAAAGAACTGATAAACATGAACAAAATATTAGTATAAACATTTGGGGTTACTGGAATAAACTTATAATCACTATAAAATAAAAAAATAAAAACTCACTTGCTCTCTTCTGAGATCGTAGCGGGACGCTACTGTTCAGCTTGTATTTTGATATAACAAACATGTATAAGTGAAAACAAAACTGAATTTTAAAACTCTTGCAGTCAAAACAGATTTACTGCAGGATTACTAAATTTAGAAGATTTATTCCCACATGGTATTTTAACACAAATATTTTTGGCCGTTCCAGTATTGTTAAAATTTTTGCTAAAATAAGCAAAAAAAAATGTTTTTTTTTTTTTTTTTGTAATGCTTTTCACAATTTCTTTGTTATGCTTTCTCAATTAAGATGATAACCCTAACCACATATGAATTCTATAATTGTTGGTTTTAATAAATACATCGCCTAAAGCAATTGAATGTTCCAGTGCATAAGTAAGTACCAACAAATTAAAACTAAAATTTGCAAACCCAAAATCAATAGTTAGATAAGCCCATGATTTAAAATTTTATTCTTTTACGAACTGACGTTGGCAGAAAATTCATTTAATAAAATAAATAACAAAAATTGTATATGTATGTATGCATATTGGCGCTTTTCAAATTCAAAATCACTTTGAGGAGCTCTTCTTATATAGCGCAAATCGCAGTCCGATAGTATTACGATCCGAATAATTTACATGAACATATGGCACCATTATTCGTATAAGTGTATGTTGCTTTTGAATATTGTTGGATTTGCTGTGTTTAAACATATATACATATATGTATGAAAAAAAATTTTTAAAATATAAGAGGAAAATCAGGGTGAGAGAGTGAAACAGAGAGTAAAATAGTAGCTTTTATAAGATTTTGGTCCCATTTTATTATTACCTTCTTTTTCAGTTGTTTTTTAAAATGGGAACTTTGTATTCATGTTTTATAATTTTATGTCAGTATTTTGGGAGAGTTTGTTTTCTTTTTTCTCTATAACTATATTTTATTCGTACTAAAAATCCTTGTGCAATTGCAAATCTAACATCGACACGTTTACAAACGTTGTGGTAATTTTGATATCTTTTTATTAGTTTGTTGGAATAATTTTATTAAAGGATTTATGAGAT